GGAAAAAATGAGGAGCTGATACCAAGGGCTCAAGTAGAAGCAAAATGTTTTGAAAATGATGATGGCAACAAATGTACAAATGTGCTTGACACAATGGATGGATGGATTGATTGTGATAAGAGTTATATGAGCCCCCAATAAAATGATTTTTAAAAAGTCATCCAAGGTAGAATAAGAGTTTCAGCGAGAGGTGGGGTGGTGTGTAATGGGGGTACAGTAGTGGTTGGGGGGGGTGTAAAAGGGAGATAATGTCAAGGAGTCCAGAATAACAAGAATGTTTGGAAACAAATTATGGTCACAATTGTACAATTCTGCTCTATTTGGTTGAACTATGGAATGGTATGATATATGTATTAACTCCCAGTTAATAATAAAAAAGAAGAAAAAATTAGCCAGGATAATATAGATAATCTGAATAGTCCTATCCCCATTAAAGAAACTGAAAAGCTAACAAAAAGGAAGTATTCAGATTCAGATATTTTCACTGGTAAAATATGGTTTCATTTTGTAGAATTTGGAGATTCTATCAAACATCCAAAAAGTACTGAACACTGATTTTCACAATTTCTTTCAGGAAATAGAAGAGGAGAAAACACTTTTGAATTTATTTTATGAGACCAATATTACCCTCATGTCAAAAATTGAAAAAGAAATATAGGGACAAAATAAAATACACACCAGTATAGTTCTCATGATTTTTGTATCATGAACAACTCAACAAAATATTAGGAAACTCAACTCAACAATATACAAGGAATTATACACCATGGCAAAGTGAGATTTATTCCAGGTATGCGAAATATGCAACATTTGGAAAGCAATTCATATAGTGCACCCTATGAACACGTTTTTTAAAAATCATCTGTTCAACTCAATTGGAAGAAAGTTCTTTTACAAAATCCAATACTCTGATGATTAAAAAAGTTTTCAAGAGGAGAATTACCTCAACTTGATAAAGAGTATCTACAAACATCCTAGTTAAAATGATACTTAATGGTGAAAACGGAATGCTTCCGTCTAAAACTAGAAATAAGGCAAGTATGTCCACATTCATCATTTTTTCTTTAGATACTAGAAGTTCTAGGCAGTACAGTAAGGCAAGACAATAAAGGCACTTTGATAGGAATGAAAAATAAAATTGTGCTTTTGTAGATGGCATGTCTGCAAACCATGGAATCCCAGAGAATGCATATATACATGATTGTGTGAATTCAGCAAAATAATGGAATACAAGATATGTATTGTGTGAATTCAGCAAAATAATGGAATACAAGATAAATATAAAAAAACAATTGTATATCTATAAACTAATAATGAATGTGCGTGCACAAATTTAAAAGATCATGCTATTTACAATCACTGAAAAAACAGAAGTAACCAAAAAGCTCACTTCCATCCAGTTAATTCTTATGTAAGACAAAGTAGAACTCCCAGTCCCTTAATAATAGCAATATTTAAGTATAACTCTAACAAAACAAACAGAATTAGTGTACTGAAAGCTACACAATGCTGATGAAAGAAATCATAGAGTAGCTAAATAAATGGAGAGGCATGGTATGTTCATAGATTGAGAGAATGAACATATTAAAAATGCCAAATGCCCCAAATTACTATACAGGGTTAATGCAATTCCTTTCAAGATCCCAGAAAAGTTTTTTGTAGATATAGACAACTTTTTTTTCAGAAATACACACGAAAGATAAGGAACTAGAATAACTGAAGCAATTTTGAAAGAGAAGAGTAAAACAGAGGGAATCAGACTTCCAAATTCCTTGACTTGCAGGAAGCAAGACTATAGTATTGACAAAGTGATAGAGAGATCACTGGAACAGAATAGAGATGCACAAAACATGATCACACAAACGTGAACAAATGATTTTTGGCCAAGGTGCCAAAGCAATTCAATGGAGGCAGGACAGGTCACTCAAGAAACATACTGTAGCCATTGGACACAGACAGGCAAAAACAAACAAGCAAAAATGAACCTCACGCTATACAATAGCAACTCAAAATGATCACAGACTTAAGGTAGAACGTAAAGCTATAAAACTTTCAGAAGGAAATATAGGGGACAATTCTTCATAGTTGGGCAAAGTGCTTATAGTTAACATCAAAAGTAAGATTTAAAAAAAGAAATATTAATAATTTGAACTTCATCAAAATTGTAAAATTTTTGTTCCAAGAAAGATTCTATTAAGAAAATGAGAAGGCAAGCTACAAACTGGGAGGAAATATTTGCAAACCACATTATCTAACAAAGGATTAGTATCTAAAATATAGAGTATTCTCCAAATTCAGCAATAAAAAAGCAAAAAAAAAAATTCAATTAGAGAATAGGCCAAACCCATGAAGAGACAGTTCATTGAAGAGGATCCACAGATGGCAAAGGAGCACATGAAACATGTTCACCATCACTGGCTGTCGGAAAATGCACATTGAACCACAATGAGATGTCACTATATACTTCCCAGAATTCCCAAGGAAGAGTGGCAGCGCCAAATGTTGGCAAAAACACAAAGGAAAAAGAGAAACAAAGAAATTGGATCAAACAGTTTGACAGTTTGTTGCAAAATAAACAGGTATTTGCCTTATGATCCAGCAATTTCACTCTTAGGAATTATCCCAAAGGAACAAAACTGTCTATCACACAAAATCTGCCCACAAATAGCAGCTTACTTTATATAACAGTTACCCAGAATCAGTCCCGAGGGTCTTCAGCAGGTGAGCGGTTAAACAAAATGCGATTCCTCCACGCCATGGAATACCACGCAGCAGTAAGAAGAGGAACAGCTTGCACAAACCTTCAGAAAAGCATGCTGAGTGAAAAATGCTAATACCAGAAGACTACATACTGCAGGGTTCCACTAAGCAACATTTCTGGAAGAACAGAGTAGTGATTGCCAGGAGTTAGAATTAGGAACCGGGAGGTGGGGAGCAGGAGACACGCTTATAAAAACATGACCAGAGAGAGCATTAGATGCTGGGCTTTTTTAGTATCTTGATAACAGTGACTACATGAAGCTACACACACACACACACACATGCACGCACACACGAATTTAAGCAAAACTAGGGAACTCTAAGGTAGATTATGTTAATGATATCAGTATACTGATTTTTATATTAATCTTTTGTTTAGCAAATTACTAGTTTGGGGGGAAATTATGCAACCCGTTCAAGGGTTCTGTGAATTCTTACATATGTTAATTTATAATTATCTCAACAAAAATTTCCATTTTAAAAATATAACCATAAGAAAAGGGGAACCGATCACAATAATCTATATATAACCCCTTCCTAGGGGGATGGACAACAGAAAAGTGGATGAAGGGAGACAGCAGTCGGTGTAAGACATGGGGTGGGCAGGAAATTTTATAAATTATCAAGTGTTCATGAGGGAGGGAGGAAAGGTCGGAGAGGAGAAAATGAGGAGCTGATATCAAGGGCTCAAGTAGAAAGAAAATGTTTTGAAAATGAAGATG